AACATGAGAAAAACTGATAGTCCAAAAATCACTGCTTACAATAAAAAAGAAGAATACACCAAGATATCATTTAATCCTGATCTTGAAAAATTTGGAATGACTGAATTTACTGATGATACTGTTGCTTTGTTGAATAAACGAGTATATGATACGGCTGGAGTAGTAAAAGATGTCAAGGTTTTCCTTAATGATAAACGTATACAAGTTAAAAATTTCAAGGAATATGTTCAAATGTATCTGAAATCGGTAAATGCAGATGCTGCATCATCAAAAATTAGTGTTGTGCATGAAAAATTTGGTGAACGTTGGGAGGTTGTCATTGCACCTAGTGTCGAAGGTCAATTCCAACAAGTAAGTAGTGATAAGATTTATCCATATATTATAACACTCATGATGTCTCATTTAATATTCACTCACAAATATTTATATAATCGTTTTTTCCCCTTCCCTAAAACAACAACAATAATAAATAGGTAAGCTTTGTAAACAGTATTTGCACATCTAAAGGTGGACTTCACGTTAAACATGTTACTGAACAAATCACCACAAAACTTGCCGAACATATTGAAAAGAAAAACAAAGATCTTAAGGTCAAGCCCCAGCAAGTTAGAAACCACATCTGGATATTTGTTAATTGTTTAATTGAAAATCCCACTTTTGACTCTCAAACAAAAGAATATATGACATTGAAGCAAAGTTCTTTTGGATCAAAATGCACAATAAATGATGACTTTATAAAAAAAACAATAAAGATTGGCATCATAGAGAGTATTGTGAATGATCTCAAGTCAAAGCAAGTCCAAGTACTAAAGAAAACAGATGGCGCCAAAAAAAATACAGTCAACGTAGAAAAATTAGATGATGCAGTAAACGCCGGGACAAAAAATGCATGTAACTGCACATTGGTGCTGACAGAAGGCGACTCGGCAAAAGCCTTGGCCTTGGCTGGCTTTGATGTTGTAGGGCATAACAACTGGGGAGTTTACCCCTTACGGGGTAAACTGTTAAATGTGAGAGATGCATCTGTAAAACAAGTGGCAGAAAATAAAGAGATTCAAGCTCTAAAGCGAATACTTGGTTTGCAGCATGATAAAAAATATGATTCACTAAAGGACTTGCGTTATGGGAAATTGATGATAATGACGGACCAAGATCTTGACGGCAGCCATATTAAAGGGTTGATCATCAATTTCTTTGACCATTTCTATCCCTCATTGTTAAAGCAACCTGGTTTCTTGCAAGAGTTCATCACGCCAATTGTGAAATGTTCAAAAAATAAAACAAGTATACCATTCTATACATTACGAGAGCTTGAGGAATGGAAAAACAGTAACGATAACGGAAAAGGATGGACCATTAAATATTACAAAGGGCTTGGGACCAGCACATCTGAGGAAGCTAGAGAATATTTCAATGACTTGGGTAAACACGTTAAAAAATTCAAGCCAATGGATGATGAAGACCACAAACTTATCGACATGGCGTTCGCTAAAAAGAATGCCGATGAACGTAAGTCTTGGATCAGAGGGATCGAAGACGGGACCTATATCGATTATAGAGACAGTGAAATCACAATCAAGGATTTCATTAACAAGGAGTTGTCACTATTTTCACTTTCTGATAACATCCGATCAATTCCTTCGGTGATAGATGGCTTAAAACCCGGACAATGGCGTTCGCTAAAAAGAATGCCGATGAACGTAAGTCTTGGATCAGAGGGATCGAAGACGGGACCTATATCGATTATAGAGACAGTGAAATCACAATCAAGGATTTCATTAACAAGGAGTTGTCACTATTTTCACTTTCTGATAACATCCGATCAATTCCTTCGGTGATAGATGGCTTAAAACCCGGACAAAGAAAAGTTTTATTTAGCTGCATTACAAAAAACTTGATAAAAGATCAGAGTAAAGTGTCTTCATTAGCTGGCTATGTTTCTGAAAACTCTGCATACCACCATGGCGAAGCCAGCCTTCACTCAACTATAATTAGCCTTGCGCAAGATTTTGTAGGATCCAACAATATCAATCTACTAGAACCTATCGGTCAGTTTGGGAAAAGAAATGACGGTGGTAAAAGTGCTGCAAGTGCACGTTATATTAATACCAGACTTTCTAAATTTGCAAGACTAATTTACCACCCAGATGATGATATTTTATTAGACTACCTGAATGATGATGGTAAAAGCATAGAACCAAAATGGTATGTTCCTATCATTCCAATGGTGCTGGTCAATGGTGCAGAAGGCATAGGAACAGGTTGGAGCACCAATATTCCTAATTTCAATCCCAAAGACATTATTCACAATTTGAGAAGAAAGATCAAAGGCGAAGAGATGATCCCGATGCATCCTTGGTACCGTGGATTTTATGGAGAGATCAAACAAACCGAGCACAATAAATACACATCATATGGAATAATTTCCAAAAAAGATGATACGCATGTTGTAATATCAGAACTACCAATTCGCAAGTGGACCGAGGATTACAAATCCAAAACCCTAAATGATTTCAGAGAAAACAACACGATCAGGAACATTTCTAGAAACAATTGCACTAATGAAAGGGTAGATCTTGAAATTGAATTAACTGTTGAGCAAATGGAAAAGGCAGAGAAAGAGGGGCTTGAAAAGACATTCCAATTAACAACTGCTCTGGCAACGTCCAATATGATGTGTTTCGACCCAAACAATAAACTTGCAAAGTACGACTCTCCAGAAGACATCATAAAAGAGTTTTACCACGAACGATCGAAGCTTTATGTCAAAAGAAAAGTATGTTTATTATTAATATAATTTTATTTGACTTTTTAACAATATTTTAATCTATTGTGTATATATTATAGAATCACTTGATTAAAGATTTGCAGAAACAAATTAGTATAATGGAGGGTAAAGTAAGGTTTATTTATATGAAGCTTGACTCAACGTTAAAGTTCGAAGGATTAAAGAAGGCGGAAATCGTAAAACTTCTTGAATCCCATAAATTTGAGAAAATATACGATGCACAGTCCGAAGAAAATTCGTCTGAGGGTACCGAGACCAACAGAAACACCAAAGGGTATGACTACCTTATGAAGCTTACATGTTGGGGCTTTAGTAGAGAAGAAGTGGACAAATATGAAAATAAAAAGAAGTCTCTGTATTCTGAATTGAAAATAATTTCAGAAATGAGCACTCAGGATTTATGGCTCAAGGATCTCGACGAACTCGAAGCGGCGTGGGACGAGTTCGTGAATGTCAATCAAGAAAATATATCAACTTCTGCTAAGACCACCAAGATCACCAAGACCACCAAGACCACCAAGACCACAAAAACCACAAAAAATCAGGCTGATAACGGAAAATCCAAGTCAAAACAAACTAAGGTTGATAGATTTTTTACAAATAGTAATAAATTGAATAGTATTGACATTGATGACCACGATGATAATTATACCGAGGAAAAAATTGAGAATATTATGGATGATGTTGATAGCAGTGGCAAAGATTACACTGAACGAAAGACCACAATTAAAAAGGCAAACAAAGGAAAATCCAAATTGAAAGCTGAAGATGATGAATTTAAATTGAATCATACAACAGCCACAAGCGGTAAAAGTAAGGTAATCGAAACTATTGATGATGATGATACCGATTATATTGAACCACATGAAACAAAAACTACAACTAAAAAACCAAACAACGGAAGATCCAAGTTGAAAGTTGAAGACGATGAATTTAAATTGAATCATATAACAGCCACGAGCAGTAGAAGAAAAATAATTGAAATGGCGGATGACGATGATGACGATTATATTGAACCACATGAAACAGAAATTACAACTAAAAAAGCAAACAACGGAAGATCCAAGTTGAAAGTTGAAGACGATGAATTTAAATTGAATCATATAACAGCCACGAGCAGTAAAAGAAAAATAATTGAAATGGTGGATGACGATGATGACGATTATATTGAACCACATGAAACAGAAATTACAACTAAAAAAAGAAAATTAAGAACTGTAAAAAAAGTTAATTACTTGGTAGATTTAGTAGATGACGAAGAATAAATTTAAATAGTAGTATATTGTAATTATAGTATAAATTTTATATTTAAGTTATCTTTTATTTATATAATGATCTAACTAATACTAGGATAGCTAGGATAGTGTCTATCTATCTATACATCGTATATTAAATTATTGCATTAACATTATTATTAATATTACAAAATAAGTAAATAAATAAATAAATAAGTATACAGTAGAATTAATAAGAAAAGTAACTTCATTTTGATTGTGAATCAGTAGTATCAACATTATCATTATTACTGTTTGCATTATTATTAAAACTATCATTTTCTTTAACTTCTAAACTTTCAATTGCCTTTTCCAATTCTTCACTCATTGTAATTGGCTCTCTATGTCCTTCCAAAGTTGACAATTTTCCTACATAATATTGTATATCCACTATCAACCTCTTCTTCCCATCAGATGTATTAATATTCAATTTACCAATTTCCTCTGCAATTTTTGACATTGAAGATTTGAAAATTTGAGTCATCACATTCTATACACATACATAAAAAATAATGATGATAATGGTTTGTTATTTATTTTACCAACAAGTCAAATATTAATAATGGTAATGATAATTACTTGTAATGTTTCAGGCGGAAGATACTTGTTTAAAACTTTATGTAATGTGGATGTTTCTTTTATTAATGATTCTATATAAGAATTAGGACCTTCTTTGTTTTGTAATTCATCCCAATTCAATGACTTTTTTTAGGAGAAAAATTTTTTAATTAATATTATAATAATTAATCTATTATATACCTAAGTTGAAATAATAACAACATTACCTGGAAAGTTCGAAGATGATGGATTAATCTTTCATTCATAATAGAAACCAATTTTGCATGTATCTCATTTTGATGATTAACATAATCCTATATTTCATATAAATCGTGTTTTCATTAATTATTAATATGAAAGATAAGAACAAAAAACATTTGAAACAGATTAATTCTCCAATTCAAAAAATCCACATACATTTTTGATTCGATCAAATTCTGTCAACATTACAAATTGTTTAACAACAAGATTATGTCTTATACATTCACGTATAAATGGTACTAATGCAATCATCACACCCAGCGATTGTGATGCAAGTGCTACAGTTGGGTTTTTTTTAATTTAAAATTTTAAAAATATACTGCATACTTGATAAATATATAATTATTAGATAAACTATTTACCTAAATGTTTAGCTGTAATATTTTTTAAACCAGCAGATAACCTAGCTCCAGCACCTAAAATCATTTGACATGTTCGAGAATTAAATGCCTAAACAAACAGAACATTATAGAATTAATCAAAGCATTATAATATAATGACATTTTATATATATGTATATTCAAGACTCACATTCAATAGATCAATTATACGATTCATTGTCTCAGTTGTTAATGCAGGTATATTAACTATGCACTTTAAATAATCACCAAGCATTTTAATCAGTAATAAACTACAGCCAACCACAAAAAATTTTCGTTCTTCAACAAAAATATGTCGATTACTGCTATCATTTTGTGATGGAGCACGAGAAGAATATGAGTGTAGCGAAGGTGATGATAAAGGTTCTGACGGATCATCTCTAAAACATGACAATCCTGATACAGATGCTGACACTATATTATCCACGATACGTTGGAAATCGATAGGCACTTCAGCTTGAACCCATTGTTCATTCTCAACTAATGTATTCTCTTGTTTTGTCTTTTCCATGTGAAAATGATTTAAAAATGCTTTAGCCTGCAAATATGCAGGCACAAAAAATATTTTTGTTATTAAGTTATAATTAAGGTTATTTACATATAATAAATATATATAATATATAGATATCGATCATACTTGTGACATAATTGTTCCACGAAGTCCATAACACATTCTACCACATAAATTTTCACATTCTAAAACAAATGCCCACGTCACATTAAACAATCGATAAAAGTCTTTTTGATTTAGTTGAGCATTTTGGTCTGCACGAATTGCTATCATACTAGCACATCGCACATGAGCCAAATCTGCTGTTGCATAAACAATTTGTACGGAATCAGATAATAATTGTGAATGTTGACTATTATTGCTGTTGTTGATGTTGCTACCACCACTACTGTTATTACTAGTACTCTTAATATTATCAGATTCTGCTTTTAGTTTTTGTGATCCAGTATCTGGTGTATTGTCAACTAATTCTTTAGTATTTAACTCAGGAACAGGTTTACCAGTTAATGACGAGGTTCTTTTTTGTATCATAGACTTTATGCCAGTTGTGATTCTGAGTGCTTTTGAAAATCTTGAATTGCTTAAAACATTGGTTTCATTTTTTGATTTTTCTATTTCTTTATCAGATTGTTCAACTTCTTCCATCAACTGTGTAACATTACTATAATCCGAAGAATTTCCTTCACTCTCTTCTACCACATCTATTTCCTCTATGCTTACTTTTTTTTCTTCTTCTTCAACAACACTTTTTTGAATTTCAACACCTGAATTCTGTGCTTCATTTAGTATATTATTAAATATTTCGTTATAAATTGTGATTCGCCTCATTCCTTCGAGTAGAACTGCATAAATGGATAAAAGCATGTCAACAAATGTATCAAATGACATTCCTTTTAATACCTTGGCAAGTCTAGAACCATTTTTTTTTTAAAAAAATTAAACAGTCAATGTTTGAATCAATTTAAAAAGAATGTTATAATGGAAATGTTTATACTTTTGTTCAGAGTGAGATTCGTTTAAATGATCTTCTTTAGAATCGGCAAGTATTGCTGTTAATGAAGAATTATGCTAGAATATAAATGCATATAGTTAATAAAGCTTTTTGAATCAAGCAACAATAATAATAAAGAATTACCATTTGTATTTGACTTATTTTCTTTATTTCATCCAACATTCTTTCACGATATGATTGTAAAGCATGAGTAAGTGAATTCATTTTATATAATCCTAGGATAAATGGCGATATTCTTTGTTTTAATTTATCTTCTTTTTCGAGATTTTTATCGTCAATATTAAAAAGGAATGTTTGTTGTATATTTGATTTTTTAATAGTTGGTAGAGGAATGGTAAAATTGTATAGCGAGTTTATTATTACACTTTTATCCACATTGTCTACATGTTCTTCAAAATCAAGAAATAACATATTTATTAAATCATTTTCCATCATTACTCCAATAGTTTTATACACTTTAGTAAGTTGACCATTAAAATGCATTAAAGCTTTGACTCCTCTCAAATCAATTACACCTGATTTTTTAATATCATTTGCCACATTACTCAGTCTTGAAATAGTTATTGGTCTATTATTAATACCAGAAGTAAGCTGAGTCTTTAACCCATTATTATTATTAAATTGTAAATTAATATTTTCCTCATTCCCATTATAACCAGAATCGCTGCCAACATTACCACCATGTAATAAGCTATTTGCTTCGTCAATTAAATCTAATGCTGAAAAATAATCACCCTGTCCTAATAATTCTTGTATCATTGGTTGAATAGATCTGATTTCTGCAACCATTTTAATCCCTTCATAAAGTCTGCCCGTATTTGCTTTACGTCTTTTTAATCTAACAATTTCAAGACCTTTTTTGGCTTTGGTGTCATCTATTCTAGCCAACTCTTCTCTTAATTTATGAATCTGGGTAACACATTCTAAGGTTTCAGAATGTAATGCCTGAAGATTTGATAAAGCAGCAAAAAATGAAGAAGATCTTAAAGATATTTCTTTTGTAAGATGAACCTCTACAGTATCAAGATAATGAGACAATTTTTCTTGCAGAATTGCATTTGTTGATATTGAAGGGTCATTGGGATTTCCTTTGATGATGTCCGTTTGTTCACACACAGCATCAAATGTTCTTGGATTTTCCAAGTTAAAATTAGGATCAAAGAATATTGAAGGTACAGTTTCAAGTAAAGGAAGTTCAATATTAGATTCAAGCAATCGTTGATCAACGATAGGACTTGTTATCGTTGGTGTAATGAAAGTGGTTGGGGTTGGTAATGGCAAATGTAAAGAATAAGGATTACGAGAACTCTCTAGTCTATGGACATAAATTTCATTAGCCGTATCATCATCATCGTCATCACCATTAATATTTTTACTATTATTATTATCATTACTTTGATCAATTGGATTATCAGATGTTGTTGGTGTGGTAATTGGTGTTGTTGGTGATTTTCTTAATAGGATCAAACCATCTGTTCCGATTTCTTTATTTTGGCTATATTTCTTGAACAAAGGGGTCATCTGTTTCAAATAATTATTGAAATCAACAGGTTTTACCTTTTTTATTGGAGTATGGGGAACTGACGGGATATCATTTTTTGAAGGTTTTACGTAATTTGAAGATTTTGAATTAGGATTATTTAAAATCCCAGATATTGCTAAAATTTACAAAAATATTAAAGAAATAATAATATATGATGAATAATAATGTGATATGTATATAATATAATTAATATAATCAATTAAAAGAAAAAAAAATTTCTCTGATAATTTATATATGATGATAATAATTATAATACCATTAAAACCGATATCCTTTTTGTTATATAATTTTTTATTTTATCGAAAAAAAAATGAATATAATATTATATATATATACACATGCAATTATTAACTTCCTAACTATTAACAAATAATTAAAATAATTTATGTATATACCTTGGTAGTCCAAGGTAAAGAAGTCTCAGACATTGTACTAATGTAAGATGTTGATGAATTTATAGAAATTCTTCGGGCAAGATTTCTAGTATTATGGTTTCTACCGTTGCCACTACCACCACTACCACCACCATGTAAGGACATTGTTGAAGACATCACACGTTGATTCATTGGAAAAGTAGAAAAGTAATCACTCGTATCAAAACTACGTGTAGTAGATGAGGAGAAACGGCGTGGTGTAATAGGTGATGTGGCTGTGAAGGTGCTGTTAGTAGCATAAGGTTGTCTTGGTGAAGATTGTGTACTATTCTCAGTAAGGCCTAGGCTATTTGAATCATTGTTATTATTATTATTGTTACCATTGTTATTATTATTCCCTTTAATATTTTCCATGTCTATAAATCGAAGTTATTTTTTTTTAAAAAAATTCATCATGTAGAAATTAGCATGGCGGAAATTCTCTTTTTGTGTGTAACATTTGAAGATCAAAAAAAAAAATTTCATTTTTTTAAAATACTAATTATAACAACGAGTTGCAATGATTGCAATCACCACCACACCACTCTTTTTTTTTGTCTTTCGGGATTTTTAAAAAACGAAAAAAAAGATTTTATTTAAAAAATTTTTTAATACGTATTAAAAAATATGATAATTTATTTACAAAAAACGAATATGTATGTGTAAAATTTTTTACAAACTTTTATTACTTATAACAGATGTATCATACGCATGATTTTTTGCATAGTAAAAAATAATTGTAGGATCACAGTAATTATATATTAATATGCTATCTGGTTTTCATATGATCGAAAAAATATCTATATAAAGTTTATAATGCCCAATATTGGACCGTTCCTTGAACATAATGTAGCATTTCCAAACCTATTCCAAGTATGAAAGTAAATCAGATCGTGATCCAGGAGACGGGGATGATGGATAAGATTTCTTGACATATGCTTTTGCACACACTTTAGCCTTCTTCGGAGTTGATAAGCACGAAAATATTTGGTGCTCATTTTTGTTTAGAGGTCGCTTTCGACACCCGGCTCTTTTAAATGATTCAACTGTTTGTTTTTTTAGCTTGAACCGCCTTTATCGTCTCTCGGACCACAGCCTAAAATTCATGAACATATCAGCTTATATTAGTACAAGTATACATGATTAGGTGAAATTTAACTAACCCTTGTATTTAGAGTAGATGCGAGAATTGTAAGAATGGAAGGAAAATCTTCTACATTATCAGGAACTTCCATCAGTTCGCCACGTCGAATCCTGCAGATGTAGCCCTTTGGGTTGTCTAGGAATACTGTCATAACCATCAAACCTATAAATTACATTAGTTAACAGCGAGAACCTGGTGAATTCTTACAAGCACAAAGAGAAGGAGAGACCGTCCTAAATAAAGGAATGGATTTTCACAATTGATTTCAATTTTTTTTATACAGTTTAAAATACTTTTACAAGGGTATTACGTAGCCCATTCTTGCAATAAATCATGTGTATCTTTTGAATCCCTTTGAATCTCACAACTTTCATAATACGATTTACTCTAAGAAAAAATTAAACGTTGCACAGAATGTAAAACCATTAAATCAGCTAAATTTCGTCAACTGAAAGGCAATAAATGGAAAGAAGCTGAGAACAACAACTTAGTGAAAGTAACGTGTTGTTTTATGTAACATTCGTTGTATGAATTTTGTAGAAAATCTTTTAAAAAGAGAACATAGGAGAGTAAAAACCATAGATGCGGAAGGGGAAGTGGAAGAGGTAAGTGAAAAGATTGATTTCACTAGAGCTATCAAGGTCCTATATACGATTTTGATGAAAATACGAAGATTTCTTGAAGGGGTTTTTTGACCAACTCTATTAATGGCGGTGTTCATGTGTTATCTTCTTGTTTTATTAAATAATACAAAAATTAACTCTTTTAAGTTCGACCTTGCATTCTATTTAGACTTGGTAGATACAAATCTTGGAGCAACTACAACATCAAGAGCAGTAGATCGTAAAAAGAGGCAAGTTGCAGATGAACATGAGAAATATGTAGAGAATGCACTTACAAAAAGCACATACATGTTGAATGTTGACGATTATCATAGATTCACATCCAGGAACAATCTGATACTATCAGTATATAAAGCACAAAATCAGTATCCTTTAATTACTAAAACTTTGTTATTTCTAGAAAACCATCTACAAACATTTTTGCAATTACGTATATTGTGTATATTGTGATTCACTAATTATACTAATTTGAATAATTGTAGTGTACTCATGTTATCACAATAATTGTCTACAAAGGTGTCAATCTAAATGTTGATATCTTGGACTATCTTCAAAAAAGATGTCAACACACTAAAAGAAAGTATGATGAAAATATTAAATTTATCGAAAATAACAATGATGATTCGGGTAATGTTGAATCAGCAACAGATGATGCAGCAACAATGGAAACTTTATTAGAACATGCAAAAAAATTTTTTTTGGGTTGTAAATTTTATTTTTATTAAATAAATTTGCTTGATTTTTCATTGTTCATTTTTCGTCACAATCATGTATCTTATATTTGTTGCGTTTACAATCATTTCATTGACATTCATTATATTAAGGTTATTTTGATTATATCGAGAGATATGGTCAAGGAAGAGTTAGGAAGAGAGTTATTCTTTGATAGAGCTCCGAAACGGGTCGGGTCGACCCGAGTCAACATCATGTTATAATTGTCTTTAAAAGTTCAAAATTATTTTTGAAACTAGTATAGATACTAATAAATGGATAAAAATAAATGGCAAAATAACAAT